CAGAGAGGAGGGAGCAGGTGGAACCAGCACACGGCAGAGGGAGGACACACACCAAGTGGGATGTGGTGAACACTAATCATCATAAAAGGGGAGGACTCAGCAGGTAGAAGTGGATGCAAGGGCCACCTCCTTGGGTGCCCAGCATCCAGGTCATTTGCTGGCTTGGCCAGGTAGGGATGCACAATGCCCGCAGGCAGGGCCCTTCGGAGACAGTACCTCTATCTCTAGATTCCGGCTGAGTATGAGCCAGACGAAGGCTACTTTCTCTCTCCTGAGTCCCTTCCCTGAGTCTGTCCCTGCAGGTGACAGCTGCTGCAGGTGAAGCTTGCAGTCTGTCTCAGCAGCCTGGCTCTGCTGACGATGGAGCAGCAGCCACGCTCCTGCAGGCAGCACATCGTATTTCTACACCTGGGTCTCCAGAGAGCATGGACTGTCATCTGCAGAGGGACGGCTGCCTTTACCCTCCACTATTCTTAACTGTACAGCCTTCCAGGGACCTGCGCAGAGGCTGAGCTTGCTGGTAACAGTACTCAGTCACTCCTGCCATGCCGTGGTTACCCCACTGGCTACATCATTATGACATGCGGGGAGGACACTGAAGGGTTCGGAGTTTAGCCAGCACGTCATGAGAAAGTCCTACACAAGAAGGACCGTGCCCCCGGTGAGTGACTCTGGGATGATGGGCCACATTGCTCAGGATGGTGCCACAGCCTGGTTTCACCTGGCAGCTTCCACTCACTCCTGTGGGGGCAGAGAGCGAAGTATTATCTCAGGCAGTGAATTGGGCTTCTTTAACGGCACTGAAAATCTGAAGTGACAGATGTGCCCAGCCTTTGATGGAGAGGAGCACGATGGCCCAACCCCGGCTGGGGGGCAACGCCCTGAGCAAGGCAGAGCCCCCTGCAGGCTGTGAGGCCCCAGGGAAAAGCTCTCCATGTGGCCTCAGGTGAACAGTGTGGGCAGTGGGAGCTGGTGCAGACTATGAGTACAGGAAAGTCAATCTGTGTTGAAGAAAATAGTAACTGTATTAATCCATTTTCACACTGTTAAGAAGAAATACCCTAGACTGGGTAATTTATAAAGGAAAAAGGTTTAATTGACTCACAGTTCTGCATGGCTGGGGAGGCCTCAGGAAACTTACAATCATGGTGGAAGGCAAAGGAGTAGCAGGCACCTTCTTCACAAGGTGGCAGGAGAGAGAGCCTGTGAAGGAAACAAAGAGGGAAGAGCCCCATCGAAAACCCTCAGCTCTCGTGAGAACTCACCCTCTATCATGAGAACAGCATGGGGGCAACCACCCGCTGATCCGATCACCTCCCACCAGGTCCCTCCCTTGACACGTGGGGATTATGGGGGCTACGACTCAAGACGAGACTTGGGTGGGGACACAGCCACACCACATCAGTAATAAATAATAAGGCATAGCTAATAGTTAATAATGATGATGTAGTAAAGACGAGAGGTCCATGCCACAAAGTTAACCATCATGATTGTTTTGATGAAGTGTGGGGTAGATTTTTCTCCATTTTTCACAGTATGATCAGGTGATTTTTAAAGAAAAAATTAATTTGAAAAGATTAATGCTCCATGTTTGGTGAAAATAAAGGTGTGACATCACTTGGTGACGTGTTAACATAAAAGTGCAATATCAAGGTTGGGCACTGTGGCTCACGCCTGTAATCTCAGTGCTTTAGGGGGCTGAGGCAGGAGGATCTTTTGAGTCTAGGAGTTTGAGACCAGCCTGGGCAACATAGTGAGAACCTGCCTCTGTTTTTTTTTTAGGTGCAACATCAACATTGGGGTGCCTGTTATAGCAGGAGAAATTCCCCCTAATAAGTGACACAGCACAACCAATGTTCTGTTGCATTGTTCTTGTATTCTAAAATAGATAATTCTTTAGTGAAACAGTTCATAAGGTTTAATCCATGTACCTAATACACACTCTTCTGGTCATTTATGAATACGGCCAAGCTTTGTAGGAAGATCAACACATAAGTGCTGCCCCCAGAACAGCTCTGATTTCCTAACCTCACCCTGGTTTCCCTGGTGAGCAATGTCGGGGGTCACAGGCTTGCACACATTCCAGATCTTTTTCTTTGAGTCCACAGGATTTTTGATTTTCTGTTTTGTTCTCTACCAGAAGCTCTTGTCTATGTTTTATTTTAGTAAATAATCAGCTGCCATAGAAAGAAGCTCAGCATTTCCGTGACCATTTCCTGTGCTAAAGCCCCTGGAAGTGGAGGGGGCCTGGGCATGCGCAGGCGTGGCCAGGCTGAAGCCCTCTGCTGAGCCCTGTGTGTCCCCACTTCATTCTGTCTGTTTCCTGTGCAGGCCCCTTTTAAATTACTTTTCTAAATTAATGGTGATACCATTTCGCAGCTTCTAATCGAAGCCCTAGAGCCATCTTTT